ATCTAAAGACAATAGCAATAATAATTCCTGCACAAATTTTAGCTACGACCATAACGACGTTTTCCATAAAAAATGAATATTTTTATAACATGCAAGTGTAGTGTATGTTTCGAGCTTGTTGACACCATAAACTGATTGTACCTGCATGCTGATGTAGCGTAATGGGCGGTTAAGCCAAAGAGATAAAAATCCTTTTACATTTTTTTTAACTTCTTATATCAATTTTTCTAACTGCACTATATATAATACTAAACGGCTTTTTTATTTTCCTGAAAATTAAAATAGTTTGGTTACCGTATAATTTTATGAAAATAAAACTGATTAAATTTCTGACCAAGCACCTTGTCGCTAGCTTATCTAAGTCTGGTGCATGCTTCGAGTCGTCGATTGGCCTTAAGTAGTGGTCACTTCCTTAACTAAATTCTTCCGCTCTTTATACAATCATGCCGATGAGATGAGTTGAATTCCGAATGACTGTTTATCTGTCTGTCCGTAGAAGCCGTAATGGGAGTCAAGCTTGAGATATCGTCATAATTCTTCGTACACGGGTTGCCTGGCCAAAAAAAAGAGGACAAAATGCCATTAAACGATAACCTATGAAATGTCCTAACTAAGCCACAAATTAAGATACACAATTGTTATTTATTGGAAGCTGAGTATTTTTAAAAAGTTTGCCGTGACTCTTCAAATCAAAGTGTAGCCCTGCCAAATAATACTACAATTTTTAAACAGCCCACACCAAAGCTAAACTTTCTTTTTTGGTTTGTGGATATGTGTTTTCCACCGGTGAGAGACTCTTATCGGCAAATGAAATGGTCAGCGAAGTATTTGCATTATCAAAGTACAATAATACGGCACCCAGGGCCACCGGACTAGCATCTGCAATTAAACACGTTTTGTCCCGTGGGTTAAAGTATGAGTGTTTTGATACCGCGGCAATTTTCGGTTTTAGTCCTTGGAATGCGTCCTCCTGCTCTTTGCCCCAAACAAATTTCTCCTTGCTCCTCTTTAATTTCCTTAGAGGCTCGGTGCTGCCTGCCAAATCAACTACAAACTTACCCACATATGTAGCTAAACCAAGAAAACTACGTACTTCTTTATTTTTCGGTGCTCTGAATGCTGTGATCACTTTTACTTTTTCGGGATCAGGAGATTGAATCTCCCAAAAATTTCAGCCTTTGAGTTCTTATTATGCATTTACTTTTGTTCAGCAAAATATTATTTGTTTTATAAATTGTCCTACCCATTTCCAGTTCTTCAAGGTTGCTTCTAAAAATGATTACGTCATCAATGTAGTTCAATGCATTTTGACAAGGAGATATTAATTCCTCCATTAGCCTCTGAAATATCTCTGGGGCCGAGCTTATTCCAAACATTAAACGTGTATAACGAAATAAACCCCGGTAAGTAGTAATTTCTCTGCTGGACTCAGCCAACTTCAACTTATGGTAGGCGTTTTTTAAATCAAGTCGAGAGAAATACTTGGCTCCCCTTAGTTTTGTCAAGAAGTTTTCAAAACTCGGTAAAGAGTAATCTCTGTATTTCATTATTTACCCGACACATATCTATACATACCCGAATATCGCCACCATCTTTAAAGGCAATCATTCGATAATGTCCAACTTTGAAGCCTCTTCCAGTTTCTCAGTTATTTTGCCCTCCAACACCGTCGGCACACGTCTCATGGGTTGTTGCACGGGAACCAAAGATTCGTTGATAGTCAGCTTCACAGACACATCCCRCCATTTGGCAAACGGTTCCGCTTCCTCAACTCTGCGCACGTAAAAACGTACTCTTAAAACGTTGAGTTCGATAGCTGTGTCCCATCCTAACAGAAATTGTATACCATTTTACATAAAATTTAGTAATCAGTTCCGGATGATTTTGTATCGAAATTGGATCCTCAAAAGCTTGAAATACCTTGAGTAGACGATCTGAAGCATATGCCCGGAAATGATTCGCTGATTCAGTACGTAAGTTAAATATAACAGCCTTTGACGACTGACGGCGACGTAATCTCATCAAAAACTACGTAAAACATTCTCCTTCCAGTGGTGTTATAGAACGAAACAAGTACCTCTCAAAAGCGGAATTCCGATTTGGCGAAAAATTCTCATTGAGTTTTGTTATCAAAGGTGTAAACACATCGTTTTTCGCTTGCTCGTCATATGGTACTTAAGCACCAGGAATCCTCTATACCACTGCCTGGAGCTGGGATCCTCACAAATGAGGGAATTTATTTATTTTCTTATATATAGAGGTTATCTTCTCTGCGTCAATATATATATATAACGAACGCAATCACGCCTCCCACTTCGTACGCTTGTCCATTCCCTGACATATAAATGGATTAAGTTCCGTCATGTTTATTTCTCACCGAAACGATTATTATAAAACATTTCAAACTCATCAGCTAAATTTTTCCTCATGACCTTGTTGTTACACATAAAAAAAAAAAAAAATAAATCACTTTACCCTTGTTTCCAACGTTATTAAATTTGGAATATAGTCGCTACATATATATGTGTATACACAATACCTATTTACATTTCGTCCCTTTCTATACTTCATTTGAAATATAATATACACTGACTCACACTAAAAATGGGACACTCAAAAACTATTTGATTTTTTAACTTAAAATATAAATAGTAAGCAAGGTATGATAATTTTTTCAAAAATTCTTTTTTATTTGAAATAAGACATATTTTTTAATGATATGAAGAAAAAAAAAACCAAAGTTTATGCTATAACAACAACAAAATTAACATATTTACATTTATTGTGCGTTCAATTTAATTCACACTCGAAATGGGACAGTTTGTAAAGTTAAGAAAAAAATTAAACCTGCAGGAGTTCAATATCTTGTGGATTTTCCTTTCTTATTTAAGACATCTTGGAGACGACGTGGCATACTTTCTACAAGATTTTTGCATACCGAAGTTTCTATTTGGTTCCATTCTTCTTCCACGGCTTTCTTTAGCTCAGATTTTGTTTTAATATTTCTTTTGGACAGTCTTTTTTTAAGTTCTGCCCATAAATGCTCTATGGGATTAATGTCGGGGGATTGAACAGGCGTACAAAGTCCTTTTGGGCAATTGTAGGGCAACCAATTTTTAGCATTCCAGGATTTATGCTTTGGGTCGTTGTCTTGGTAAAACATGAAACAATCACGAATCCCAAGTTTTTCCGCACTGCAATGAACATTTGTTTTCAGAATGTCTATATATCCTTTACCAGCTAACACTCCGTCTATAAAATGCAGTTTTCCAGCCCCATCCCCCTACATACAGCCCCAAATTTTTTATGTTTTTGTCGACCAACTCTTGGCTAGCCATTCTCCATACGAAGCGCTTGCCGTCCGATCCAAAGATGTTAATTTAATTTTGGTTTCGTCAGCGAAAAGAACCTAAGAATAACTGAAATTCACAACAAGTTTCATAAATCAAGCTTTAAAAACAGTTTACCTTACGCCAAAAAGAAAAGTCCTTATCTTGATATTTCAGAGCANCGAAAAGAACCTAAGAATAACTGAAATTCACAACAAGTTTCATAAATCAAGCTTTAAAAACAGTTTACCTTACGCCAAAAAGAAAAGTCCTTATCTTGATATTTCAGAGCAAATTCCATTCTTTCTTTCTGGTTTTTTTTGTGATATCAGTGGTTTTCGACGAGGTATTCTAGCGTTAAGTTTATTTTGTCTAAGTAATCTTCGAATTGTTTCTGCACTTACTTCAACTTTCYTTTCTTCTTTTAGCTGTTTTTGTAACTCTACAGCAGACAGATATGGGTTATTTTTGATTATTCGCAACAAAAACTGCGCACTTCGGTCGTCAATTAATCGTTTTGTACTTCTGTTAGGTATTTTATTACATAAGGTAGGGGTTTTTTTAAAGCGCTGAATAATGTTAAATACAGTAGATTTTTTTGCGTTCAATTTCGCCTATTTCCCTTATAGATTTATTACTTTCGTAATTATTAATTATAATTTTCCTTTCTTCAATTGTAGTGCGAGGCATTTTCCAATTTTAGTCGCTGATAATCTGATTATGTTGCAGGTCAATGTACTACTAAAAGCATCTTCAGTTTAAGTTCAGTTTCTAGACAAAATAACGGTAGTATGACGTGCCGCAATAACTGTCCCATTTCAAGTGTGAGTTCCATTGAACGCACAATAAATGTAAATATATTAATTTTGTTATTGTTATAGCATAAACTTCGGTGTTTTTTATTCATATCAATAAAAAACATATGTCTTATTTGAAATAAAAAGGAATTTTTGAAAAAATTATTATACCGTGCTTACTATTTACATTCTAAGTTAAAAAATCAAATAGTTTTTGGGGTGTCCCATTTATAGTGTGAGTCAGTGTATATAAAATACACTTATAATATTATATTAACAACTATCAAGCTTCCCGTCCGGCACGGTCGGCGTCGAATATATTTCTAAAATAAAATGTCATGTTTATTTTTGGTGAATTATGAGAGCTTATTGTAACTTTCGCCTACAGGTACAGATCTCCACAATTATTATTAAATTTTTTTTTTTTTTTACAAAAAATACGATGTTCTCAGTAGTTTGTGAATGGCTTGTGACAGATTAATTTTATAATTGTTCTTTTTTTTATCCACTTATCCACCGTAATAAAATATAATTTAAGGGGTTATCCAAAGTGAAGTTCCAAAATTTAAAAAATACGTGAAAATATAAATGGGCAAACCATTTTAATTTAAAACATTTAAGGAAGAGCCAAGTTCGGGTGCAACCGAATATTTTATACTCTTGCGACTTGCAAGACTCAAAGACAGGGAAATGCTTTAAGGCAGAGTAAAGTCAGCCGGATGTTCGAAAATCCTAATATAAGTTATGTATTTTAGGCACAACGGTACACTGTTATGAGTATAACACGCTCACTTTCATGGGGATAACTCACATTTTGGCCGATATATGCGGTACCATGTCACCCGGAAGCTGGAAAATTTTATATTAAGTATATGGAGGCTAAGGGAGTATTGACACACAGACATACCATTGTAAGGAAAGTATTATCCCTTTATTTCAGTTATATATATCACACATTGACCGAAATTTGTGATCAAAAGTCAACTATAGGTACCGGAGTCTAAATATTCGGTTCCCAGGGTCTTAAACAGTTTTTATTGGATTAAAACATTTTTTTTTCATAAGGTGGCACACACTGAACAGATTATTGATGCATAGTTTTATCCCGTTATATTATTTTTTTGATTTTTGTACTAGAAACTGAATGAAGTTAGTAGAATTTAAAATTGTGTCACAGTGTGACATAGAAAATGGAATGCCATGTAATAAACTCTGTCGAAATCATTTGGTCGGGTCCAGAGATATGGGATGTCATCGTCCAATTTTCACATCGGTTATTATAAAGCTTTCTGATACAATCACGGTGTTAAATTTTAATGTCCCTGGCGAAAAGATATTTTGGAGCGTAAAAGGGATCAGGTCGTTCTCGAAAGTCATGTAAGATAAAAGAAAACTTACTGCGGCGGATAAGTTTAAGCGACCGCTTTATATATGAGCGGAGGTGCAAAATCTTCACCTAGTGGATTTAAGTGTCGAAACGATATTTCGACGGCTTAGAGGTCCTTAATTGGGATCAAAATTATTGGCAACATATTATGTTGCCTGACGAAAGCAGATCTAATTTTTTAATCTGACAAAATTTGCGGTGCGTGCGCCGTTCATTTGGTGAGAGGTTTCAGGATGAATGTGCAGTAGAGAAAATTAAGTTTCCTTAAAGAAAAATAAATTGATGCATGTTTTGGGACATCTGCACTTTGTTGATGGAATAATGAATGTACAAAAATATGAGCCAATGGTTAATAACTTTATAGTACCCGCAATTTAAAAGCGTTATCCTTATACTGATCGACTAATTATCCAGGGTTACTCAGCGCTATACCTTCGTGCAAAATGGCTATGTTTACATTAGATGCAAATCTTGTATAAATATCTATACAATATTGGTGTATATGAACCTAATCATCTCGAATTTTTACTTATATTTTGGAGAAAAAATTTTATGCATGACAAACAAATAAAAACGAAACCGATATTCTGACTTTCCCTTGGGAGAAAAGAAAGTGTACAAACTTTCATATAGATATCTCAAAAACTGTGGATCTAGTTGGCGTATTTTTTATTGGCTAAATCGACTCAACTCGTCCTGCTAATCATTTATATACATACTACATACCGGTAGTAGTATGTGAGCGATTACTGGTAGTAGTATGTGAGCGATTACTGGTAGTAGTATGTAGTAGGAATGACTTTTTAATTTAAATTTCGCTCGAAACCCTATTCGTCGAAATATTTTTTTTTGTATCTGCGACAAATACCTTATCAAAAATAGTCATTAGGGCTTACGCTTGTATTCCTGAAATACATAAAGTGCATTCCTCATTTTTACGATGAGTAAAATTTTATTCAACAAAGAAGTTCCATTAAATTTCAGAATGTTGGAAAAGGCCTTCGGTAATAATTGTTTGTCGCCAGCAAGTTGTTTTATTGGTACAAATTATTCAAAGAGGGTCGAAAACACGTTGTCGATGAACCACGTCGAAGAGGGCCATCAACATCAATTGATGATCAACACGTCAACAAAATAAAGGAATTGGTGTTTGAGAATAAATCATAAACACGGTGAATAATCAGAGACTTACTGGCAACACTCGAATATCGGAAGGATCAGTCAAAACCACTTTGAAAGGTTGGTTTGTTGGGCCTAACTGTGAGCGATTAATTCTCTTTAACTGTTATGCGAAGCTATTCGTAAAAAGAAGTCGGAGTTATGGGCCGACAGCTCTTGGATTTTGCAATAAGATAATTACCAGTCGAATACTGCATTGTTTTTTCGTGAATTTTTTGCAAATTTTCAACATCGCATTCGCCTGACCGCCGTATTCGCCTGATTTAGATTTTAAAGTTATGAAAAAGTTTTTACTATATGTTGCTCATGTTGTTTGTTTTTTATTGGATCTCCTTCGTTTTTTTCTGAGTGTTACAAACTCCATAACAAACTATACATATATACCATGTCCAGGCCTTAACAAAAGTCGTTAATAAGTTAAACTTCTCAGAACACCGTTTAATCATATGTGACACTTCGTTGTTGATAACCTGCTGATGTGCAGACAGAAATTGAGTGTTGCTGACTATTTGTGTAAAATGGTTGCAGAATGTAATACTTTGACAAATTATGCACCATTGCAATGGAAATTCCCATCTAGAATGTACCCATAGTTATTTTTTTGAAGTACTCAAATTCTTTACTTATTCATCGAATTAACATTACTTGACCATCGACAGAAATAAAAAATACCGCGAAACCCCTGTTCAAGCAACGTGTGTGAATTTATTTATCCAATTCTATTATTCATGCTAACTTTTCTGATATGTCAACGTACTTTAATGCTACCGGGTCCTAGATCGGTTCTGCTATTACTGTTATAGTATATTTAAGAATAAATAATAAAAATACAAAAAATAGAAAATTGTTCCCCAAACTGAAAACGCCGAAAATTATGAAAAGTGTTTGGAGGACTGGAAAAATTTTTGGCAGAAGTGTCTTACGTCATTCTTTTTATATCTTTTTATAACTTTGAAGGCGACGAAATAAATATTTATGAATAATTAAATTTTTTTTGCGTTTTATTTACAATTTTCTCAAAAGTTTTTAAAACACATGTCGCACTAATAAAACAAAACTGGAAAGTCGCAATGAAGTTGATATAAATTAATAATTCTTCAAATATAATTTTTTCGTAAATTTTTATTATCTCACATAGTCACAGGCTTATTTTTTATTTATATTGATCACAATGGCGCTTGTTTTTATTTTTTGTGATATCAAATCTCCATCTTCATGCTATCGTAACATCCTGCCACCGAGTATAACTTTGTTCACCAAATGGTTGTTTATAATACAAGTACATAAAACTAATCAAGTTAATTATAAATATTACATATAAAAAAATGGTCAGGACGACAAAAAGAGTTGAAATCGACTAACTCTCTATCCATCTATCCTGACATTAAGATATGTTTCTTTTTGAAACGTATTATTTTATGGAGGCTGGTATTGCAGATGTGCGGAGTAGAACTATTGTAACCTTCTCGAAATGCCGTCAATAGAAAACCTAAGTACATAATAAAACTAAGCACTCAATTTAGACTCCCAATTGTTACAGATTTGTCCAATAGAGAGGGGCCCCTGTGGTTTGAAATTTTTCAAAAACTGGGTGTATTCGCATCGCTAATAAATTAAATGTACATATCTTAAAAATACATGTACATATCTATCGACTAAACTTGCTGGAAAAAGTCATACGGTGTGAAATGGATGAACCATATAACAGTTATGTTAAAAATTACTAAAACAGTTAACTTAAAACGCTAGAAGCAATAAATTTGACATGAAAGAAGATGCTTAAAGACTTCAAAGGAATCGGTGTAAAATCGGGCAATGTCTTTTCACTACCCGCCTTTGGATATCTCCAATGCTTATCTCGTGAAATCCTTCTCTGCTCATGTGGGAAACTTGGAAAATATCATTATATTCAGACAATCAGGGCTGTCAGAATTGCAAACCAATTCAGTCATGTCATAGAATCTGATTGGATTTTCGTCTTTTCGAATATACCCAAAACCAATATTCGAACCTGATGTTTACTAATGTGACAAAACTAGCAAATGAATACATTTGGAAGCAATCCTATTAAAGTGTTAAATTACGTATATTACGTTTTGTAAATCTAAAAAATTTAAATATTTGAATTTTTTTTAAAGACTCAATAATTAATACTATTCGTGTTTTCTACTTATGTTTTCCCCTATAAAAATAAATATAAATTAATTCGAAATAATAAAATAACTTGATTTTTGAACTTACATTTGAAATCTGTGAGCGACCTTTCTTTGTGCCTGATAGCAAAACCGATCAAATTGGTTTCCGTGATACCCAAAACCGATACAAATTCGATTTCGAATATCAAACCATTAATATCTGAATTTATGACACCTACTACTTTTTATACTCTCGCAACAAAGTTGCTAAAGAGAGTATTATAGTTCTGTTCACATAACGGTTGTTTGTAAGTCCTAAAACTAAAAGAGTAAGATATAGGGTTATATATACCAAAGAGTTGAAATCCGGATGTCTGTCTGTCCGTCTGTCCGTGCAAGCTGTAACTTGAGTAAAAATTGAGATAT